AGAGAGAGAGAGAGAGAGAGAGAGAGAGAGAGAGAGAGAGAGAGAGAGAGAAAGAGATCTATAAGAATCACAAACTCATAGAAAGCCTGACTGAACAAATATACGCCTACACAATGTTTTGAATGTGTGCCAAGAGGTTATTGGTGTGTGCTTTGTGCTTGTCCTTAGTCCTTACTCACTTTAAATTTTGATGAGAATTGTTTTGCTGCGGTGGACCGAATCCGTTCTTTCAAACTATCTTTCATATTTTTGTTTTCCAATATGGCTGCGCCCTGTGTTGATTGTTGACATATTTGAAACCCTGTCAAGACAGCCTGTTCAATCATCATGGTGATTGCAATTGGATTTGAAGGAAGTGCCAACAAGTTGGGCATTGGCATCGTGAAAGATGGGGTAGTTTTGTCAAATCCACGACACACGTATATTACTCCTCCTGGGCAAGGTACAGCTTTTTTGGATTTTGAATAGGCTAGTTAGGCTTAGATGTCAGTGATGTGATTCAAAGTGATATTTTGTGTGATGATGAAACATGAGAATGTTATTTATTATAAATTAATATACATGACATTCTTTAGTCTTCAATGTGCACTTCTTCTTCTAGTCTCGTGTCTTAGAAACTAGATCTAGATCTAGAAGACTAGAATCTAGTAGTATGTAGTTGGCCACTTTGACTTTAGTTCTGACTTTACTTTAGTAGTCTCATGTAACCGTTGCCATGCAGTGTATGTATGGAGACCTGTCCAAAACTGAAATCTGTCATAATATAATAATTATTAAATCTCTCTCCTCTCTATACTGTAAATGTAAAAATTGTCTAAGACTTAAGACTAAGTCACGAAGTAAGACACTGAGTAACCTGCTCTCTATAGCGTGTAAAAAACCCCCACATTTTCATCTATGTCCCCATTTTCGAAGCGTGACGCATTAGTTTGCATTAGGCCTCCTTTAAAAGTCCCCACGATCGTCCTTATAGTACAAGCTGCAATAGTCTAACAGGCAAACAGAAGTTTGTAAATATAGTTTTTCTCAAGTTTCCGTTGCTTGCTGAGATTATGGTTAAGATAAGTAACGAGCACAGAGCTTTTTGTACTTACAACATTTTTTCACCTCCAACTCATTTTGTAAGTTTCACACAGGAATGGTAACAATGTTAAAGTGCCCTTAATACCTTCTTTGATGTCAAGGGGTGAAATGGTCCCTCAGTTAGGACCTGTAGAGAATCAAAACAAAAAAATTCCCTGACAAAACGACCACTTTAGATCAAACACACACTTTTCGCACCCCTTTAAACGTCACCAGGGTGCAGAATTCGGAAGATGAGCCTCATGAGTTGTCTGTCTGTAGACGATGTCTACAGCAAGGACTTTCCTACATCTCAGCGGTCCACATTTTTAAGGCATATCTTCATCTACAACTGCTTATTTCATTCCTGTTCACGAAGCTGACATGAATCAGAGGATAGCAATGTGTTCATGATTCCTCGATCATCTTTAAAAGCGTGAACATTCCTGTATGACCTTTGATTCCTTGGCAAAGGCCATTTATTCACATTTCAGGATATGTTAACTCAACAAATACCTGTTTTGGCAACCTCAGCTGCCACCCTTCGGTCTCTAGAAATAACTCCACTCTGAAAGGAGTACAGTATGTGTAGCTTTGAGTACTCATGGTTGAGAGGATCTTTGTTTTTGGTCACCACTGAACATTACGAACGACGCGTTAAAATGTGACGAGTCCATAGGAGGACATATATAAAAAGCACTAGTTCTCAGAAGTCCAGAATTAAAAATAAATTTCTAAACCTTTGTTAGAGAAAAGGAATATTATTGTTTCAATGTTACAGGGATGGAAAGATTAGATTTAAAAAGAAAAGGAAGGGAAAAAGCAAATCAATCATTTTATGAATCTCCCTAAATTACAAGATAAAGATCTTTTAAATTGGTGCATTTTGTGTCTTTAGGTGGTTTCAATAAAAACCATTTCTGTTTTTGAAAACTAGTTTCTTCTTTACGAATTTTATGTGAAACAAATTCATTTTCAATGAGTTCATTTATCTATTCCAAATTACAACATTCTAGTACAAATTTTGTGCTAGATATTCAGAAAAAAAAATTGTACACTTTTTTTTTGTATTTTAAGTTTTCAACAGATGACATCACTTAAAATATCTCCTTCCCCTGTTGTGTTATTATTCCAATGAAAAAATACTTTGAATGGAAAAACAAAGTTTTTCTCTTATTCACATAATGATAGGTAAAACTTTTTCCCCCAGTTTTAGTCCAGATTTGACCAAAGCTTCTCTATGCATTAAGTGATCTGTGCAAAATTCATAGTTATTTTAAGAAGGATTGGGTTATCAAAAACTAAAAATTGCATGGTAAGTTTAATTGTTTCAATTTTAGAAAATGCTTTTTGGTCTCTTGTTTAATTTGCATGCTTGATAAAGTATCAAGTGTTATTTTTTACGTGATGTTGTATAATATATAAATTAGATTAATTAAAGCTCTTTAAAACTGAAACAAGTAAACAAAAAGTTGCCAAATTAGCTAAAAAACCCACATTTTCTTTGATATCAATATTTTGATGAATGTTTGATTTTATCACGATGCCACACATGTACTTTCTTTGTTGGAGTATTTTGTTGCTGTTAGATTATAACGGCTAATTAATAGACACATCATCGAATAAAAGATTTGTGTTATGGCGTGGTAGAATCAGGCGCTGGTCAATTTTTGGGCATGTATGGCATCATCTGAAAGCTGGCTGACTTATTTGCCTTGTTTCCAATAAAATAAACATCCATCTATCTTGAATACTACTCAAGATATTTGCGATTGAAGGAGGTGAGGTCGCCATTTTTCAGTGTTGAAGTTAGCGAGAAAATGGCAGCCAAAGTTTGGAAACTTCAATAGCTAAAGAGCCTCTGAAAACTGAAAAATAACACATTTTGTGCCTTTAATCAATGTTTTTCAGTAACATTCACATGGAAATTTGTTTTTATATGGCGTACAAGAGGTTACGGCAAAAAATAAAAATTTGATAAAATTTCCTAACTGTCGGAAAAATGCCTGTTTCTCCGATTTCGTTATTTTGACGAGTGCCTGATTTCACCAAGCTGCCTAACATTTATTTATATAAAGATCATGTCTTAAATCGAATTATTGCAAATAGGTTTTTTTCTATTTATACTTATTTGTAATAACACTTTCAAACTCCGTGCTCCTGTTTCATTATAAATATCTGGCTTCATCTGTTGATGATGGCAAATCATGATTAGCTCAATGTACCGAGGCGGTGGATCATATTGTTGTTCTCTACGTCCTGGGATTAGTCAAATACTGGGAGTTGTTTGAGATAAGGTAATGCTTATTCTTTACTCAGTGCCTTTTACTTTGATTGTAGGTTTCCTTCCCAAGGACACGGCTCGCCACCATAGAGAACATGCGCTGTCTGTGTTAAAGCAAGCTTTGGATGAGGCTCAGATCAGCCCAGAAGACATCGATGTTATCTGTTACACAAAAGGTTTTCACATTGTACTTTCATTATTTGTTTTGGTTGAAGGTGAACCCCTGGACATGAATTGGAAAAAGTTGTTCTCATAAAAATTTAGTATAGAATACCTTTGCTGTACTTTTCTGATCCAGCGGCCATCTGAGTTCTAGCCCTTTGGTCTGTCGATATGGCAAAGAATTTACATGTTTGTATTAGCTGCGTTTTGAAGCTGTAGAGTGTATTCAACATATATAGAGGTAAACACTACGCAGGTCGCTACCGCTAAGTGCAGGGTAGGTGAAGAGGTGGTGTGATACTGTTTCATCTTGGTAGTCGCACAGTGGGCAGGCAAGTGGGTATCTTTACAGGTCCTGTTTAGGTAGGAATTCTTTGGGATATGTTGTGTTTGCAGGCGAAAGTTAGGGACTTGTTCTTTTCTACTCAGGGAATTAAGTGCACCTTTTGAGTTGGGAGCAGTTATGAAAAAATCATTTTATGAGCTTTACTCATGTTGACACGAGCACTGTCCAGCTTCACAATAATCTTTGACATTACAGAGATACTTTGAAGAAATATTTTATGTTCAACAAATGTAGAAAAATGTTTTAGTTATTTGGTTGGATTGTCGCCTGAAAATCACTTCTAACCAGACTGGTAACCTCTGACCACAGATTGTTTGAATGTAATAAAGGCTGCTGGCTAACCTGTATTTTACACTTTTGTGTTGGGGAGGGAAAAGAGTTAAATCTATGTGTTGAACCCTGAAAATAAGGATTTTCAATTTTAAATGCATATTTCTAAGTTATTTGTCTTCTTTCAATGAGGAAGGAATCATTATAAAACACCAATGCAGAGAAACATGATTTTAGAATCCTTTAACTGGTCTTTAGGGTCATTCATTTTGACAAGAATGTCATATACTAACACATCTTCTCAAACTGATGGAATGAAGCTTGTGTCTAATATTCCTCAGGACCTGGCATGGGCGCGCCTCTCGTGTCTACTGCTCTTGTTGCTCGTACTGTGGCTCAGCTGTGGAAGAAACCTATTGTAGCTGTGAACCATTGCATAGGACGTATCTTTTTATTTGCTGATTTTTATTAAAATTGTAGCATGTTTGGTGTTATTTTTTGTTCTAGTGTCTTGAATGCAAGTCATTTTGTTTCTACTGTGATTGTTCTCCTTTTACTATTAAGTCAGCATTGCTTTTATTTTTCTCATTGTATAGGTTAGTTGATAAAACATCCTTTGTCGTAAGGACTTGGTACTTCTGGCCAAGTGAAACATTTGGTAGAACTGAGACCAAAAACTTTACACTTCACTATTATCCGGAAAAAAACTTAATGTCAGCATACTCATGAAGCAGAGGTGTGAGGTAGGAAAAGAGACTTCAGTTATTATGTACCCCTAGATAACAGAGGGGGTGACGAAGAGTGAGAAACAGATTCCGAAAGCCTGGATGTAATGTTGAATCCTCCTACTTTTTCAATAGAGCATTAAGACTGAAAGTGATTCTCTCTCACAAGTCAGAGTAGACATTTGTTGTCGAATATTACAAGGTTCACAGTGTGAAGTTTCTTAATATTAGTTTTTGTTTGTTTGTTTGGTAAAAGCTTTACAGTGCTCGCAACTGTATGAGGTCATATTATGATCTCGCGAGTCACAAGTTAGTAATGTTCACTCTAAGCTTAATGTCAGGGGTTTGTGGTTTCAAAAGAAAAGTAAGCTAATCTACATCATAATTAGCACTTATCTCGTGCTAGCTGTGGTTTGCCTTTTCTATCTTCAGAAAAACATCAAACTGTTACATTAATCTAGCAGCTTGGACTTTGCTGCACTTCTCATATACACTCAGAGGTCTAGTTAGTGGAATGACAAGGCCATGACTTTGTGTGTTCTAAGAAATTCATATGAATACTGGCAGTAGTACCATGACCAACTTAAACTGGTGTAATGTTACAATTCATGGTGAAGAGAAAGATTGGCTCTGACTTTGTGATTGTATGGCTGTGCTTTAATTTTCCTTGACATATCTCAGACATTGAGATGGGCCGGCTGATTACAGGTGCTCAAAACCCGACAGTTCTCTATGTTAGTGGTGGAAACACACAGGTAAGTGACTTGTCGCTTTTGATATTTAATCATACAGGAATGGACTTTTAATGACCAATATATAGAGGCACCTGCCATCTTTAGCTAGGAGCTGTTTTTGTCTCTTTGTCAACTGTCACTGAATTAATTTTTCCTTTTCTTATGTTATTGGAACTTATATGAGTATTATGAGACATTTGTTAATTGATGCTAGATTTGGGAAGTAACCTTGTCGGAGTAATTACAATATTCCAAGAAAATTCTGTGCTGACATTAATGATTGACTGTGGTTCTAATATTCAATTTCTGTTCTTAGAATGGATGCTCTTTAAAAAAAAAGACATAGGCCTTTATTTTTTTCTTCAGGTCATCGCATACTCAGAGAGATGTTACAGAATCTTTGGTGAGACTATTGACATCGCTGTTGGCAACTGTCTGGACAGGTTTGCCAGGGTCTTGAAAGTGAGTTGTGCTGGCTCTTAATTTGTTGAAAGTGTTAATTGAAATGATAATGCACGGAAATCTTTGTTTGAAGAGATTGAAATGTTTCAGGAAAAAAAAATAGCTGTTAGCCAGGGAAATATTGTGTAAAGTTCTGAAGGCAGTAAAAAGCAACACTACCCATTTTGCTTTCACCTCATCTGGAGTCAAGTATGATTTGTCTTCTCTACTTTCTTTCTCCACGAAATCTAAGATTGTCTGTAGAGAGGAGCCAACCACCCACCCATGGTCCATGCCTACCCAAGGTCTCCCCCAACCCATCCTCTTTCCTGTTTGACCTTTTTTACTTACTTTATTTTATCCTTCCTCTAGGCTCTTGCACCATCTAGGGTGTCGAGGGGAGAAAGAGCTTTCGGTCTCTGGCAAACTGGATGGCCTAGCTGGGTGGGGTGTTGTGGGTCTTCTGGGTATCCTTCGCACCCTCGATCCAGGTCTTATTTGGTCTTCCTCTTGCCTTGTACCCTGATATCCTTGATCTTTCATTGCAGATTATCGCCATGCCACCAATGATCATAAATGTTATTGTTATTCATTCATAGTATGAAATGTGTTTTGATTATCCTCTCTCTCTCTCTCTCTCTCTCTCTCTCTCTCTCTTCCCCCCCTCTCTCTCTCTCGGAACAGTACAAGCTTTCTCCTACATTTCTTTTTAAATAAGGGCTGAACTTTTAGTTGTGATTAGAAGTTAGTCTCAATACTGCAGTGACTCTTGATAAGTTAAAATTTATCGTGAAGTTGAGATGAAATAAATCAAGGAACAATAATAATTAGCCAGACATTACATTGAATCCTTTGTTTTGTTTCAAACGGAATTGCTGAAACCTTCAAAGCTCAGTGGCTACTGGATCCATTACTTGGGTTGTATAGCTGATGCACAGCGTAATTAATTTTCACATAGATATGGGTCACTTTTGTTCTCTTTTGTCAATAGACTTACTTTAGTGGGTGGTTTGCGCGTGCTCTGGTGTGGTTTGCTTCTTCTTTCCTATCAAATAACTGTAGTCCTTATCTTCCCACCTCCTTTTTTGTGTTTGTTACTCGCTTGTAACTACTCTAATATTCGGCACATGTATGACCTTATTGTGTTGCAAGTGCCGTAAAACCTCTACTAAAACTTAAGACTTTGTTTACTATTACACCAGTTTTATGAAGTTTGTTTGCTTTGTTTGGGGGGGAGGGGGGGGGGGGGGGGGTGAAATCTGCTTTCAAGATATATGAGAGATGAAAGGTTAATTTTGTCCTTGCTCCCTGGTGTAAACATTTCTTCTTGGATGTGGTCGAAAAGCACCACTGGTAGGTATGCCTGCTGTTATCTATGTCTTTATGTCTTATACTTGCTCAGCACTAAATGTGTGTGAGAGTGTTATTGTGTAAAAGAGCATCTCTTTTACTCAAACTGATTATTTTTGTTTCAGCTCTCGAATGATCCAAGCCCTGGGTACAACATTGAGCAACTGGCAAAAAAGTGAGCTTTACAATAATACTTGCTCTAAGTCTAAGTTCTTTTGTGATGTATGACTATGACAGAATTAGAAAGATAGAATTTTTCTCTTTTGTGCAGTTGTAGATATATTTAGTTGAATACTTATTTCAGATGCTTTCAAATTGGTCCCTTCATTGTCAGTGAAGTTGTTCTAGACTGATGATAGTAGATCTGTACATATATTCATATGCTTGAACAACTGCATTATTCAGGGGGGGGGGGGAGAATGTCATTTTTTTTGTTTCTACCGTTGAAATCTCCTCTTTTCTCTCACTAATTTTTCTTGGTGGGTGGTTGGCGGGTGCTTTGGTGTGGTTTGCTCCTTCTTTCCTGTCAGACATCTATCGTCCTTATCTCCCCTTCTTCTTTTTTATGTTTGTTACCCTCTTGTAACACCTCTAATCTTCTGGCGCTCATATGACCTTATGCAGTTGCGAGCGCAGTAAAACCTCTACTAAAAAAAATAATTCTTCTTGTACCTGTTGAAGTCTCTTGTTTTGACCTTGAATGAAATTAATCAAATTGGTTTTCTTTCTTTTTTGTTGTTAATTTTCAGGGGATCAAAGTTTCTGGAAATGCCATATGTGGTGAAAGGCATGGACGTATCCTTCTCTGGTCTACTGTCGTACATAGAGGTCAGTATGTAGAATAGTTTTTGTACAAGCTCATGTCTCTGTATGTGTATCTGTATGTGTGGTTGGGGGGTGAGGGAGGAGGAGGCAGAGAGACATAATGAGTGAGAGGGAGAAAAATGCAATGCATTAACGCTCTTAACTTTTATGATTTTGTATTCATATATACAGTTGAACCTGATCTGTGGGTGGTTGGCGGGTGCTCTGGTGTGGTTTGCTTCTTCTTTCCTATCAAACATCTAACATCCTTATCTCTCCTCCTTCTTTTTTGTGTTTGTTACTCTCTTGTAACACCTTTAATGTTCAAATCTTATATGACCTTATTGTGTTGCAAGTGCCATAAAACACTTACTAAAACTTAAAAAAACTCCCAAACAAACCTGCTCTGCCAACCAACTGTTCAAGACAATCACCTGTATAAACAACCACTCCCCACTTCCCCTTTGTATATTATAATGACACTGTCTAAGAGTACTACCTGTCTATGGGTGGTTGGCGGGTGCTCTGGTGTTGTTTGATTCTTCTTTCCTATGAAACATCTATCTTCCTTATCTCCCCTTCTTCTTTTTTATGTTTGTTACTCTCTTGTAACACCTCTAATCTTCTGGCGCTCGGATGACTTTATGCAGTTGCAAGCGCCGTAAAACCTCTACTAAAACTTAAAAAGTACTAAGAACCACCTCTTTAAGATGATGACTTTTCTTCTTGACTAAGGATGGTGGTCTTGAACAGGTTCTACAATTAAGTCAACTCTTGAAACTGAAATGTAATACACATCACTATGTAAGTTGAAATAAGAATATTATTATTCTACATTGACAGGAGAAAGCTCTCCGCTTGCTGGAGTCTGGTGAATATTCCGCGGAGGACCTTTGCTTCTCCTTGCAGGAAACAGTCTTTGCCATGCTCATTGAGATTACAGGTAGGATTGCCATTTCAAACAGGCTGAGAGATATGGATAGTTCTCTGTCTGTTCCATCATTTGGAAGGCGGGGGGGGGGGGGGGGGGGGGGGGGGGGGGGGGTGGCTGGTGGCTGTGTGCTTCTCACCTGATTTGATGCTATTCATACGTCACAGCCTCCCTGGTGTAAGAATGGCTTGTGGGCGGTTGGAGGGGGTCACTGGTAGGTGTCCTCTTACTTCTTTTCTTTCCCTCTATTGTTTCTGTCTCTCTGTCTTATTTCTTCCCGACAATAAATGACTGATATTGCACTGATGTTCACCTCTTTACTAGGACAAGGGGGAATGGCTTAATTTCTGTATTACACTGTTTACTGTCTAGCAAAGTCCACTGTTCTTAGACTGGATTGTTTGCAGATGTAGTGGTGTCTTTACATCTTGTATACATATTGCTGTAGTGTTACCATTGTTCTTTATTCTCACTGGCTTTAACTTTAAAAAAATTTGTGTACTTTGATTGTTCATCTCATCCCACTGCAGCCCAAACATATGAACTGATGTACATGATATTGACAATTGAAGCTCTGATATTGAAACATCTGCCTGAAGACAAGCAGAACAGTTCTGAGATATAGGATATTTGAAAGTCAGTTCTGAACTACTGTGATTTTTTATGTGTGTATCTTTGGAGTGCGAAAATTGAATCTTTAAGTTACATAATTTGATGAAATGACAAGCGAGGAGATTGGCAAAGGACACAGGATCAGATAAACGATGTAACAAGTCCTAAAGATGTCTCTGAACTTTTTTTCTATTGTATTGTCCCACAGAGCGAGCCATGGCACACTGTGGGTCCCAAGAGGTTCTCATTGTTGGTGGAGTTGGATGTAAGTTGCACTTTTGTTGAGCAGTATATTTTGTTTATAATGAGGGTCATGCCTGTCGTTTCTAAAGAAAAAGAACTCTTTCACTACCATGAGCGGTGTTTCATGGCTCATGTTATTCCCAATGCTGGACCGTGAACAGTGTTTCATGGCTGTCCAATTCCTGCTTCAAAACCACACCTACTTTTGTCACAAGTGAAACTGAAATCTCAGGCTGAAAAATGATAATTTTTAGTAATATGTTGAAATAGGTAATTATTTCCCGTTTATTTTCATGTATAATACATGTAGCTAATATTGAAAAGTAAACTCAGAGTCTTTAATTTGTCCCTGGGGAGGCAGAATCAGAAAGTAAGTCACTGATAGGGCCTAGTCCAGGTGAGGAAAACCCCCTGGTAATGAAAGAGTTAAACAGGTCCTCTGTGATCTTGATTGCACTAAGTTAATTCCAGTGTTTGTTGTTTATCTCATGTGAGAAAGTTCATGTTTTTGTGCTCACTTGTGAGAGAGTGTATGAGTGTATCTCAGGTAGAGTCTGTTGATGCGTATGGATTATGTTGATGTATATCTACTTTCTGTGATTTTTATAAAAATTCAATGGTTCCTCCTCTTACAATAATTTTGATTGTGTTGCAGCTTTAATTTTTTCAGACCTCTGTACTTGATTTACATCTCTCTTTCATTGGTTGATTTCAAATGCTTTTTATCAAGGCTAGCTTTTTTTTCTCAATACAGGCAACAAACGACTGCAAGAAATGATGGAAATTATGGCCAAAGAAAGGGGTGCAACTCTGTATGCTACAGATGAGAGGTAACCTTTGAAATTGCTTGCATGTGGCTGGAGAGGGCATTATATTTGTGGCTTAGGTTTGACATTGATAGCCTTTACTTTTTTGCTTTTTGTTAAAAGTCGCAACAGGAGCCTTTATTATTTCTATCACTGCTCTGTCCCTGGCATGCTTTGTGAGTGAGTGTAATCCCTCCCCAAAGGGGAATTGAAGCTCATGGCTTTATATGCGGGTGAGATCTGCATGTTCTGTAGCAGTAGGAAAATGTCTAGCTAATTTTATTGATCCCTGGAAATTTGGGTCATAGAAGCCATAATGATTTTAATTATTTGACAAACTATGAGGGAATCAAATTTTTGGACAAGCTCCAGGATGTCCTGTTGGTTGCCACTTTCTAGGTATATTTCTGGCATTGGCACATGCCACATTTCTTGACTTTTAGGGAGTTGATCAGGCTTTATTAACAAACCCTCATTCAATATATCTTCTGTCTATGTTTTCCTTGATTTTTATTTTTCAATGTTTTCTATTTTGGGCAGTCTGCACATTGTCGCCTCAGAACTGTTTTGCCTTAAGTCCCTCTTTACTTAAGTACACTTTGGACAAAATAGTTCTGAGGTGACAACATGTCTCTCTTTCTTTTTGAAAAGATTTTCACTTGCTAGTCACATATTGTTGACTGTGAGCCGAAATGCCAAGAATACTTTAAAAAATGAGGCTTTCACGTATCATCTTCTCTTGTCAAACCAAAAAATCTGCTGTTTTTATTTCCACAATCGCTATTCTTGTATGTTTAAGTCTGAGATATTTCCTCTTTCGTTCAAAACAAGAATGTGACTCGTAGTTTCTTTGGCTTTCTTCTGAAGACATTTTTGTGTCAAATATGAACGTTTTCAGCAAGATCTGTATGCAGTAGGTGCACCTGGTTTAAAATTTCAGATGTTTTTTATATATGGTGTAGTTACATGTACTGCACTTCTTCACATATTTTATCTTTACAATAACAAGAGTTTGAGGTACGAATATGTCTGGGCCTACATGTTCTCAAATCTATTTGACTTGTGAAATCATTGAAGCTAGATAAAAGCTTCATCATGTTGAGTTTACTTTGTTATCCCTAATTAGTGTCATAGTATTGCACTGAAGAGGTACAAACTGAAGATTTGATTTTTCACAGTGGGACCTCAAGTCATGAACTTTTAGTACTGTTAAGTACTTCAAGACTTCAAGTTTTTTAAAGTGTATAGGGAAAAAGCCCCCCTCCTTGCTTACTGAAATGTAAATTTGACCCATATGTGGCAGTGGTTTGTGTTAATTTTTTCTGTCTGTCCCCTCTTGATATGTTACCGTAATCTCTTCTTGTGACTGTCAGATTCTGCATTGACAACGGTGCAATGATCGCTCAGGCTGGCTGGGAGATGTTCCGTACGGGAGTGACCACACCACTGGAGGAGACATCTTGTACTCAGAGGTGAGTGTAGGTGTATCTAGTTGACTTCTTGGCTTTGCCTATGTCGTAGAAAGGTGACAAAAATTCTGCTTCACATCACTTTTTAACTTTTCACCACTGTTGATTTGTAATTCCATAATATGTTTCATGTTAAGAGCACAGAGCATTGCATAAGTGGATATGCGCTATATAAATGCAATACATTATTTATTATTATTATTTGTTCAGAATGATGAAGTAAAACATAGGAAATATTGGTGTAAATACTATTATACAGAAATACAGTGAAATGAGCTTTAATAAGCACCTGTCCAAGACAATCGCCTGTACAAATCACTGCTTCGCACTTCCCTCCTTGCATTTATTCTGTACAATGATACCTTCCGAGAGAACCAACTGTCCAAGATGACCACTTTTCTCCTCGACAATGGGGGCTCATCTTTGACAAGTTAACTGTACTGCCATAGAAAATTTCAAGCTCTTCAATTTTTGGAAGCATATGTTTTAAAAGCCAACAATTTTCTCATTTTCTGTATCTTCCCAGTACCAGATGGTCCTTCCATGAATAACCAAACCCATAGATTCTATGATTGTCTTCTGATGCCCCAAACTTTATGTTCTACAAAACTCAAATGTTGATTAATAATTTTTGGACTCGTTACCTATTTATCTGTGTGTGTGTGTGTGTGTGTGTGTGT